ATATATATATATATATAAATAGCATTATTAAAAAATTCAGAAATTGGTTATAAATAAAATGCAATATAATTTCTGATTCTAGTTTATTAACAACAAATATTACAGATTTAGTTTACGATTGTTTATATATTTATTTAAAACTAATTGAATATGTTTCTTACACTACATTACATTTATAGGTTGCTTCAGACTGCAATTTTATTAATAATTACTTATATGGAATGCAAGTTTATGTAAATGGCTATAAATAAATAAATAAATTTATGTTTATGTAAATGGATATGTTATATACAGACGCGAGTTTCACAAGATGCATGATAGTAACTGAAATAAACATGAACAAAAAATACGCAAAGTGTAGCGTTATTTACCGATGCATGACGGTTAAACTATATGCACATGCAATTTGTACATAAAGACCGGATAGTGTGCTTTTTAAAACGCTTCATAAACATGCATTCTCTTGCAAGCTACATAGTGAAGAAAAAAGAGACTTTTTGTATTTTTTTCACGACACGTTTATATAACTAATTTATAATAAACCGCTGATGACTTTTATTTCGATATATTTATTATTTAATATAAAATCTTATCGTCATATCAAAAAACATAAAACAAAATATTTTTTAATACAAAACTATATTTAAAAAATCTCTTAAAATATAATTAAAACATAAAAATATTTTAGATAAACTTATAAAATATAAAATATTTATGAAAACTTGATAAAAAGACAAATATAATATATAATACAATTATGTACAAGTATGTAAAGTCTGCATTTAATCAGTACGATATTTAGACAAAAATATTTCTAATTTAGATTTAAATCAAAATAACAAATGAATGATTAATTTGGACAATTTCATTCATATTTTCAAGTACCTTTCGATTATTTAAAATTTAATAAATTGACAATAATGAGTGCATTTAGCGAAAAAAATCGCTCACTGAGCGGTTTTTTTTGGTCAATGCAGCCAATGATAAAACCAAATTTTATTAATTAGCATCAAATCACAGATTTTTAAAAGATCAAATCACAATTTTTATATTTACAAAAATATATATATTTAGCACAATTACGCTCCTAAAAAAAAACCATTTATTCGATTAATACGTGCAAAAGACTCCAACAATTTACTGATACTCTGTATTCGTAGAAAGCGAATTATTTACAGAAATCCTTGGGGTGCCAATCATAGTAACACATTCCATAAGTACCTACTCATTTTTCAAATCACCATTTTCATTATGATCACATTTCACTAATAGAATACTGTGTCCTTAATTGCGAACCTCTATCCACTTTGATAAATTTTCTTGTTAAAATAACTTTATTTCTCAGAAACACCGATAACACAGAAACTACGTTTGTGTCCATAGATTTGAAAAAAGTTCCATCCAGCAAAAGTTAAAATTTGATTACATAATACCGCGTACCACTGAAATGTTCGTTGCAAAAAATGACCATGTCAATATTATCAGAATTTTAACTGTGTTCCAGTTTCACGATATTCTACAAAAATCAAAAATCATTTTAATATATAGATAAAATAGCTCTATTCAATTGATTATTTTATTAATCTTTTAATCCCTATCGATCTCTTTCTTTTTATAAATCTATAATTAATATATTTAAATATATAAAACAATATGCATTTAATTAATAATAAAAAATCGCATTATTTTATCAACATTTAATCAACATTTTTTCTAAAAGATTACGCAGTCAATCTAAAAAATTATTCTATATTTTTTATTATCTCAACGCAAGAAATTGATTGTTTTTCATTTAGTGATATTCCATATTACAATAAAGAAAGAACGATACTTGTGTTGGCTTATGTCCTTAAATAGAAGAGTATCTCTTATTCAATTTTACCACGATTTCTATTAGACGTCTTATACATCAATAAAAAACTCATATATCATCGGTCAACCTTCAACTCACTTAACTTCAACAATTCGCTTAATAAAGAGCAATTTTACGCATCAATAAAAATGAGTTCACGATAAATGTAGTCAATTAATAATGTATAGTATTATCGTTATTAAAATTTTATTTAGAAAAACATTCTTACTAAAAACATATTTTTAATTAAAATCCAATTTTTAAAATTATAATTTACAAATTATTTTTTTTTAGAGTTATTTATTTATTTTAATGGATTAAAAAATGATAAAGAAAATAAGATAAAAATTGATATGATAAAAAAAAACAAACTCTGAAGTCAAATATAATCTGATAAAATAAAAAAAAATATTTACAGTTTAGTTTTGCAGCTTTGGATATAAACTTATAAAGTACCCCCAAAGTTATTGCATTTTCTTGAAAAAAAAACGGTAATAAAAATAAAAGAAAGACTAATAAAGTAGTAAAATAATTACAAAATAAATAGTATTTTTCAATAAAATTCTATTCAATAAAATCTTTAATTTATATTCCTTTAGATATAGAACGTTTATGTCAATTTGTTTTATATTATATCAATTAAGAATGTTTTATATTATGGAAATCATCTTCTATATCTAATTTATAATCTCCAATCGTGTTTTATTATTTATATATCGAATCGGATATACACAATAAATATTATAAATTAAAAGAAAATATTGTATATGTTTTCTTATTAAAAAGTTAAATTAAATTTAAAAGTCATTTATCTGAGATAAATGTATTTAAAATACATACAAAAATATTATTCCAACTTCTAACTTTGAACATGATTGATGCATCTCTTACGTAATTGGCTTATTAAAAAAATTTAAGTAATGGAAAATGCCATTTGACCTCCAATCCAATTTATTAAAAGAAATGACACTATATATTAATATTATATATAGTATATTAATATGAATATGTTTACGAAGTACGATAATGCGCACTATTCTCTCAAGAAGATAGATAAATTATCTTTGACTTCATATTTGCGCATTCTCAAGGTTATTAATCTTATCGCATTTGACGCATTTGTCACACTGACGCTCGTGTTGCACGACAGTCAGTAGTAGAATTTCACTCATGGTGCACGTATCACATCGCCTGTTAATACGTTGAGTTAACCATTTCTATTTCCAGTTAGACAATATTTCTAACAACAATTGACTAAACTATTATAATAATGTAATTAGTAATTTTGTGCTTCTTCTTTTTCTGTGACATTGACAATACTTTAACAATCAAATGTGAACATCGTTTCATCAATCTGAAATAAAAACTCTCTGTTGACAATAATCAGAAAATCTAATAATAAAAAACGTTTTCTTCTTGCACAACTAATTTGGAAATCTTTGGAAATCACGATGGAGTTTTCTACTTTGCTTCTGACTATTTTAACAGCGATTATTTGTTTATATTATTTTGTTCTGAATAAGTTTAAATCATCTTACTTTAAACAACTGAACATTCCTCATTTGCGACCGATTCCAATATTGGGTAACATGACGCCTTATGTTTTTCGACGTATATCTCATATGGAACTTCTACAAAAAATGTATAATCTCTTTCCGGACGCAAAGTTTTTCGGCCTCTACAATTTTTTAACGCCGATCTTCGTTATTCGTGATCCAGATTTGATTTCCACGATCGCTATAAAACAATTTGATAACTTCTGCGACCACCAAGGCTTTGTCAACGAAATTCTTGACCCAATAGCTGCCAAAAATCTGTTTAACCTGCAAGGGGATCACTGGCGCGAAATGCGAAAACTTCTTAGTCCCAGTTTCACATCCAGCAAGATGAAGATGATGTTTGAACTTATGTGCCAATGCGCTGAGAACTTAACCAATTTTGTGACAACGCAGTCCGGAGAAACGGCCAAAACGAATAATATGAAGGACTTGCTTTCCAAATACACTAACGACACAATAGCTACGTGCGCCTTTGGTATCGAGGTGGATTCTTTTAAAAATCCAAAAAACGAATTCTTCTCACTTGGCATGGAGGCATTAAGTTTTAATAAACCCTGGATGGCTTTCAAGTTTCAAATGCAACTTAACTTCCCTCAAATTGCGAAACTTTTTAAGCTAAGAATGTTTGGCCCAAGAGTAGAGAATTTTTTCAAAAATGTCGTTGCCACCACAGTGAAAGCCAGAGATGAACAGGGAATTGTTCGCCCAGACATGATTCAATTGATGATGGAGAACAGAAACAATGATAATGGACCTGAGTTCGACATCGATGAAATGACCGCCCAGGCGTTTGTTTTCTTTCTTGGTGGATTTGACTCCATATCAACAGCTATGTGTTTCATAACGCGCGAAATTGGTATCAATCCTGATGTTCAGAAAAAATTAAGAGAGGAAGTCGACGATGTTCTCAAACAGACCAATGGTAAACCTACTTACGAGGCTATTAATCGCATGAAATATTTAGACGCCGTGATAAATGAAACTCAGAGACTGTATCCAATAGCACATTTCCTTGAAAGAAAATGTGTCAAAGAAACCGAATTACCACCAGCAACTCCGGATGGCAAACCAATCGTGGTAAAGCCTGGAGATCGCATATGGTTCCCAGTATACGCTCTGCAACGCGATTCAAAGTACTATCCGCATCCAGATAAGTTCGATCCAGACAGATTCCTTAATGGTGATGTAGACAACTCGGTCTATATGCCATTTGGTATTGGACCCAGAATCTGCATAGGTAATAGATTTGCTTTAATGGAAATAAAAATCATGCTATTCTATTTACTATGGCATTGTGATATTGAACCCGACGTTAAAACTAAAATTCCATTGACACTCAAAAAGAAAACTATAGCGTTATGGGCTGATGGAGATTTTTGGTTAAAGTTACGACCGAAGAAATCGAAGATTCCTGTTACACCATGTTTATCAAATGGAGAACAGACTAGAATTGAGGGACAGTAATAATGCATATTTACAATTTGTTTCAAACATAAAATTATATATTTAATGTTGACCATTTAAATTATAATGAGAGCTCTTTTTCTAAACATCTAACAAAATTTACCTTTCTCTTAATTAAATATACAAAAAATTAAAAGTTTTAGAAATGTTATTATTTTAAATATGCATTGTTATTTTTTATAAACAAAGTGAAATCAAAATTTCTCAACATTTAAAATATTATTACAAAAAACACAATAACTCTGATACTATTAGTATAAATAAACAATTTTTTTTTAGTGTCTTCATATATATAAATTCGATAAATTTTGTAAATAATAATAAATATTGATGTTTTGCATTATATATTATATTAATGTTGCACTTTATGTTTTGAAGAACATAAACTTGTTAGATTTTTTTAGTTAATATATCTACATAAAGAAAATTTAAAACATGTAATAATAGTATACAAAATGATATTAAGTAATACAATACTTGATGTTAAATGTTTTAGTTTAGTGAATTCCTTAAACTGAATGTATCAAAAAATAAGCAACTTATTTAAATTATTATCAATTTACAAATTATTATCACTTATCACTTTTACAAATAGATATATGTAAAGGATTTGATCTAATTGTAGCAATATTTTTTAGTTCAATCTAATTTTACGATAAATAAAATATTTCAATAAAAAGTTCGTTCAAAATGAGAAATCATTATTTTCAATTACAATTTAAAAAGAGATTATTAATTTTTGTATCAGTAAAATTATCTGATATTGTTTCAATAATTTACAGTCTTAATTATACATTGGAGAGATTAGGGCTCGTTGACACAGTTTTTATAATTTCAGCATTAGTTTTTTAAACAACTAATTATGATTAAAATGTACTATAACATAATGTAATAGAATAAAGAGAATTTTTCGATATATTTTTATGCTAGGAATGGTTCTGTATATTGTCTAGTTACTTTGTAGTAAGTAAAATATGAACTTGCTGCATTATATAGTGCTTGCCCCGATAATTCGATAAATTTTAATTGATACATATCATGATGTAAGTTGCATCTAGAGCAAATTAATCCGTATTAAATTAATAAAAAAAAATTGTAATAGAAATAGAAAATAGAACGCTATGTATTTCTTAATAAACTGTATCATTTAAATGTATATTACAAAATATATGTATAATGTAAGGGAATAATGTAATTATGAATAATGCAATTAATTATTGTATTACTAAGTATTATTAAGTATTGTATTATAGAATAAATAATGAATAAAAATTGATATAAAAAATAAAATTATTTAATCAATAAATAAAAACACGTTTAGATAATGTTACATACTGCTAGAAATGTTATTGCTATTAAAAAAAATTAACTTGCTCTATTTTTATTTCAAAATGTATTTGATATATTAATTTCAAAATCAATTAACTAAATGACTCTAATTTTATCTATTTAACAAAAGCGACAATGCCATGTATTGATATAAACTTATATAAATACACCAAAAGAAATATTCTGCCGATAAGCAGGGAATTCCACTTAGCATTTCCTCTAAGCAAAAAATTTTACATTAATTTTACATTAATAATGCGTTTATAACAGGTATTCATTTATAAAAATGAGAGCACATGAGCTAAATTAACACATGAGCTGATTAAAAATTAATTCCTGTATAGAAAATTTTATTAATAATAACTCAAATAACCTTTTTAAATAAAAGGATATACAAAATACTAGCGACACGCTTATTTGTTAGGAGAAGCTTGTCATTTACAATACGCGTGCATGTCAGTACATGTAAGACATTTTTCTAGTATTGAGAGGATTGCAATCCAGCACTTTATACAAAATTATTATAATTACTTATATAAAATTCTTTACTTTGTAGAGTATTCTCTCGTGAGGTCATATATAAGTAGAAAATCCTCTCATATTAACACGGAACCGCTAAATAGTAGAATATGTGTTTTTTTGGTGAGAATGACAAAGAGCACGTTCAAGGAGAAAAATGTTCAAAGAGAGAGATTTTTTTTATAGTGTCC